TGTTGTGCTTAAGATAGGAAAAATCTGTTGTATCTACTAGTCTTGCAGGGAATGGGCCAAGCAGAAGGCGAGCTTATCTGTTCTGCTTCTGCCTCAGGAGCTGGTGTCAGTGACTGTTCTGGGAGAGCAATTCCCAGGGGAGGAAGAAAACCATGAGCAGAGATGGTAATTTGGCTGGAGGTGAGTGAGAAGCAGAACTGCATCCCCTGGTCTCCTGCTTCCCCTCAGTTTATTAAGCAAAAGCCTGGCTGTCTCAGGTCAGAGCCTGAAAGGAGAATACCCTGATTTGTGCATGATGGGTGGCTAAAGGGAAAAAAAAAAAAAAAAAAAAAAAAAAAAGAGAGCCTTAAAGCCTTTTTCTGCCACCAGTGGCATGGGGGAAAAACTGTCAGTGCTGGGGGAACCAGACCAAAGCAGCCAGAGTGCTAAGTGATGTACAGGCCTGAAGTAGGATCTCTGCAGGCTTATTTCTCTTTGGCTTTCCTAATTCTGTACTTAGTGCTTTGTCTGTTTTTAGCTTTCTCACTTTCCCTCTTCCCTAATGGCTGTCCCTGTATCTCCAAAAAGATCTCTTATTTGTCTGTTATTCTGGCCTTTGCGCAGTGGTTTCTCCTCTCTTACCTTGTCTGATCCCCCATTGCTCTTTTCTGGATGAAGACTTCAGATCCTCTCTGCAGCTGGCTAGTGTGCCACTGGGAACACAGCTTGAAACCCCAGCAACAGCCAGGCAGCAGGTTTTAAACAAGAACCGGAGATAGCTGTAAAGATACGTGGAAGTCTGAGAGGACCTGTGGAAGTTGGTAACAGGCAAAAGGAATTTCCCCTGGGGGAATTTAATGAGCAAGCAAGCCCAGAAAGCAGACTCCTGATATATGACAAAGCATGTAAATTTGTTGGTTTTGTCCCTTGGTTATGTGGCTGCCCCCTCTGTTGTACAGTAGTTTTCAGAACAGTAGGCAGGAGAAGCAACTGTATTTTTGTATTTGTTTTTAACAGCTCTGGTGAGTATTTTGGGGTCAGGGGCTCAAGCTAGATTCATTGCTTGCAGGAGAGCTCTGGGCAGGCTGGGGACCAGAGAGGGCTGCCGTGCTGCCGCCTCCTTTGCTGTAGCACTGTGACCACGGCCCAAGCACCTTGGATGGAAGTAGTAGAGAGCAGCCTGTGCCTGCGAGCCCACAGCCCCTCTCGGCGCCCCTGCCTCCCCGCTGTTATTTAATGCTCAAATGACTGTCACGAATGCCTGGGAAAAGGGCTGCGTGTGAAATAATGTTTGAAATCTATTTTAAAAAAACTGTAAATGTTCTTTTTATTAGATAGTAGAGCTAATTTATCCTGTATTCCCTACTGTAATGCTTTTTTATATTGAAAGGAATTTTTTTTTTTTTGTAATATAAACCAGAACACAAGCCTGAAGCACTCTCTGCACGGTTTTTGTGTGCGTTTCTTAAAAAAATGAAAAATAAAAGAAAGATATTGTGACAGTGAAGTGAAACGGCTTTAATTTTCACTATTTGCTTGGTGTTGTTAAGTACAGTCACTTTCTTACCAGAGGAGAAAGAATACTCGGGTACAGCAGCTAAAATGAGGTATAAACTGATGTGTCCCATTCTCCCCTGCCAGCGTAGGATAGACGGAGCCTCTCCTTTGTCACCAGCTCCAGTTTGCCAGATATTGGTTAGGCGTAAATAAGGCGCTGTAGGGAGTTATGTGAACGATGAGCTTTCTTCACCCTCAGAAGCGAGGGCTCTACGAACGCAAGGGTTTGGGTCCATCTCTGGCAGAGAAAGGCGGTCAGCCTTAGTCCTGGCTTGTGCCTGCTCGGAGCACAGCCCTCTGGGGAACACGACTCCCCACCCTGCACAACATTATACAAATGCAGGTAAGTCATTGCAGTCTCCCTTGGGAGATGGTGTCAGTCCAAGGCCTTTCTCACAATTTAACAGATAAGGAAACTGAGGCCTGTGGAGATGGAGTTTTTCCTCAGCAGATCAGTAGCAGAGCCTGAAGTGATGCCTCAGGCTTTTGATCCCAAATTATATGCTCAACTGCCACCCACAGCTGTGATACCAGCACTTCTGTCCTTAGCAACACAGTTCTGTACCAACGTTTCAGCATCCTCCTCCCTTTCCCCCCATTCGCAACAGAGTGAAGACAAACCAGCCACAGTTGGTTTCTGGCTGGACTCCATCCTCAAGCCACCCTGAGAAACTCCCTCCTAGACCTCACCTGCTACAAATTCACCTCCTCAAGTGGGCCTGGCCATGTTTCTCCTGCAGCACCTTGCTCATGAGAAGGGATCACACCAAGGACCACAGGCTTTTTGTAGCCATTGCCAGGCAGGGGGATCCATTTGCCCCTTCTCACTTAGTTGTAGAAGAGGTATAGAGCCCCAGTCCACTTCCATATGTTCTACATAGTCCATTTATAGCAAGATGGAGCAAGAAACATGAAAATAAAACTTCACTTCTCCCCTTTCAGGACTAGGTACCAAGTAGCATGAAATCTCTTATGTGGCCACTCCCCCAGGCTTTGCTCTGTGTTGGAGCAGAAGACATTGACTGGCAAAACTAGAAGTGGCTCAATGTTTTAAGTTTTGCAGAGGCAGCTGCTAAGCAGTGGAGCAGAAGAATCTGACCTCACCTGATTTAAAGCTCCTTTGGAAAGCTGTAACTGCTTCCCCCACACTCCCACCCGATTTAACCATCAAGAGGTCTTTGGAGAACTGCTCTCACATAGGGGAGTAACTCATTTCTCTCACCTGCTGGATGACATTTAAAGTACACTAATCAAGCAGCCATCTACAGACCCAGAGTCATAACTAAGCTCCTAGGACCTGCAGCCAACACAGATGGGAGGACAGCATTAAGAAAACCCTCCATTTCCTTTTTCTGCAAGATTGCTTTTGCTGTGGTCAGTTTTACTTGTCTTTCCTAGAAACACAATTTCCCACCCGCCCCAAAACCAACGATCAGTCTGTATATACATTCATGTGACCCCCCCGAAACACAAAGAATCAAGCTTCACGTACCTATACCAACAACTACAGCCAAAGTGCTGCACCGAAGCCATTGCAGCTGCCCATGCAGGTGGTGTGCAGGGTGAGAACAACAGCCACAGCATGCCACGCTCCAGCTCCCACACGCAGCACCGCTCGGTCTAATTCGCGATACTCTCCAGGCTGCCCTTGGTCATTTCCTGCCTCCCCGGGAAAAGGTTTCCCTCTTAGAGCCCAACTCCTCCACCTGAACAGAAAGGCTCCTCATATTTAAGTTTTAGTTGCTCAGTATCATATTTTGGACATGTCGAAAGCAGCTTGGCAAGCATGTGTTGTTGGGAGGCTCCAGAATTTAGCCTGCTGTTGGATGTTGCCTCTCCATTTGATTTACTTCTTGGGGGGAAAAAAAAAAATAAAATACAGTTGTGATGTTTCCTGGTTCAACTATTTCCAATATTCTTACCTGACAGGCATTTTGCATGGCCAGTAGGTGCAATGCACACAGTGTCCCAAGTTTATGCAGCTGCTTCTAAATGCCAAAAGCACTAACACAACATACAGTAACTACCCACTACCTTCTTCTAACTCTACTAAGATATTAAACAGCAATAGCCGTACATCCCAGTCTCACCAGCGGCTTGAGGGCTGTTGTTCACATAAGCACTTCTGTTTGCGTAGGCATCTTTCTACTGGGATTTTTGGGACGTCAGCTCTACGCCAGGGCACACTTTGATCCAATCAACAGTAGTGCATGAGTAAGAAGTCCATATCCTGTACACAGACCTTCTGGCTTTAGTCCCATGGAGAACAAAAAATGCCACCTCCAGCTGTGGACAGGGATAATCCGCAAAGAAAGCGCTAGGAAGTAGGGCAGCCAATGCTATTAAGCATAGGAGGTGCTGGAGAAACTGGACAGTGAGTACTAAAGCACATTTAGTCCTTCTTGACTGAGCTAGAAAAGGCACTGATGCCTTCATATCCCCGCTCCTTGCTGTTCTTCATCCCAGTTAAGTATCTTAATGCTACGAACTTTGGTCCTATCTTCTCGAAGTCAGAAGAGCTGTGATGCCTGCACATTAGCAGAGCTGGAACACCATCTCCCACAGCTGGGGCTCATCTCTAGAGGCTGCTCACTGACCAAAGCAGCTGTGCTGATGCTTGCTCTGCTCTCACTAGCACTAACCACAGCAGCACTCCAGCGCCTGTTCAACTAAAGCATCAGACGCTACCTCACACCCACACTGCTGCTACCATCAGTAAACTGTGGGAAGTGTTCTGGTGTGAAGGGACAGGACCCCAGCCTAGAAACTTCATGAAACATCCCAAGCAAGGGGATGTCTTTGTGCTCAATGGGCTTTTTTCAATAGCTTCCTTCACTTCTCACATATTATAGTTCAAGCTGCTCCGCTGTTCCCATTGCTGTCCCTGCAAATGGAACAAGCAAGAAGCCGCCCTCTTCTTTTACTCTATCTCTTGCCAAGCTTTGCACAGCACCCGGTGCAAAACTACAAGCAGGGTGGCACCTCTGGCAGTGAGGAAAGAAGCGCCGTTTGCAAAGCACTAAACTAGACCTAGCCCCGTCCATCTCCCAGCTACCTGGACAGTCAGTACTTGCTAAAAGGGGAACGAGCTGTACACGAGGGCCCACTCCACCAGGCAGGTGCAAGGCTTACTGAGGGGAGTCGCCAAGTCCTTTGCCCTGTCTCCTCAGGGATTTGGTTTCAATGTGCTGGTCTTATTTTGTGCTTTGTTCCAGCGGGTTCAGAGCCTGTGATCCCATCTGCCAGTTCCCCCCGGGGAAACTGGCTCCCTGAGCCTGCCAGGCCTGCACACCTCCCTGAGCCTTCTTCCCGCTGCTCCTCACCTCCTGCAGAGGGGCTGGGGGGTCCCACCCAACGCTGCCCCCCCCATTTCACCTGGCAATGCCATCAGCACCGGGTTACACGCTGATTCATGCCGGTAACTGGAAAAGAAGGAAACCACTTTAGAACCAAAAGGGACTAACAAAAAAAAAGTTATAATTATAATGCAAAATTACCGACACAAACCCCCCCCACCCCACCCTTCCCATGACAAAAAGCACAGGAATTAGAGTTTCTTGGGACGGCGTCCAACTTGGTAATAATAATAAATGCTGATGAGGATGAAGAGGGCTCGGCTGACCAGGAGGAGCACGGCACCTGTGGCTATCCGGCTGCTCTCAACCAGGGAGACAGTGGTAACTGGAGGAGAAGGAGGAAGACAAGGCAGAGGTTGGTGATGAAAAAACAAGTAGAGACAAGTAGCGCAAAGCTGTTTTCTACTGCCCTCTAACGCAGCTTCCTAGCAAGACTGCCGAGCCTTGCAAACTCAGAAGCTTTCACCACAGGCTCACATGCACAGTGAACCCATGGCAGAAGCCCTTTACTAGCTTGATTTCACAGCCCTGAAGTTAGCCACAGACCCACGGTCCCCAGAGCTCTCATTTATAGAAAGCCTGCTTTAAAAGCAGCCCCATGTTCAGGCAGCCACAGCCCCAAATGGTCATTCAAGCAGATGCAAGTTTCCGTCATGCTCAGGTGTTAATTGTAGAAGCTGCATGTTCCCAAGTTTGTTTTGTGGTTTGTCTGCTTCAGTGCTGATGATAAACATTTTTCAACTTTAGAAGCATCTACAAAATACACATATTCCACATGCACTGCCTCTTTTCTGAGCATCTCTCTTTTTTGGCTACCAGCACATAGCCCATATCTAAACCAACTACCTTATAACGCAGTTAGTGAGCTACCAATATACACATACAAAAAAATCCCCTTCATTGTTAAATATAGACAAGCTCCCTAGAAACAAGCTGAACTGTTATTCTCTGTTTTGGTAAGACTGAACATCCCCTTTTTAGCATAGGTTTCTACAGTCTCTTCTTGTTAGCCCCAGCATCTAGGCAGCCCGCTCCAGGAGATGACCTGTGCTGGCTATGATGGCCAGGATGTTTTTAGGGAGAAAAATAAATTAATCATCAGAGGAAGATGTTTTCCCTGCACCTGGGCACCCTTCAGAGAGCAGCCCCAGGCAGAGGCTGCTCCATGGGGAAGGAAAAGGGAGAGCAGCTGGCAAGGACGATGCTCCTGGGGCCAGGTTATCTTTGCCAGTCCCACAGCACGAAGGAGCTGCCTCCAGCACAAGCCAGGCAGAGCGCGGGGACAGCTGGGGATGGGGGTACCCCGTGGCTGTGCCAGCCAGATGGCAGAGGCAGCATCTCCCCATCAGCTGAGTCCACTGTGACTCCCAGAGCCTCACCACACAACTCCTTCAAGCTAAAGCTTATTCCATCAGACCCAAAGGCACTGCTCCAATTTTGCCATCGGTCCCACCGCTCACACCGGTTGTCCTGGCCACCTCCGCTTCCCCTTCCTCCCTGCCCGGCGGGGGCACGCAGCATGCACCCCCACCCTTTGCCTCCCCCTCCCTACAGGGCGGCTGCAGCAACTCACCCAGGAACTGCACGGCGAAGTAGCACGCCTCCGTCAGCAGGGTCCAGCGGATAATGACTTTTTCGGCCGTGTAGAGGGCGTTCCACATGATGAGCGAGATGCCTGCGGGAGGACGGCAGACCGCAGCTGCCCGGGGGCCGGGGGCTCACTGGGAAGGGGCAGCCCACCCCACAGGAACCATTTCGGCCTCCCCCGGGAGGCCGGAGGGGAGCCGTTCCACTGCCGGCTGCGCTCCCCCCGGCCGCCGCACTTCCAGCCGCCCCCGGCC